TAGATTTTTCTTTATTTCACTTAGTGTAACCTTCATTTATTTCTTTATCTTGTTGCTGTACTCAGTGAATTCTTTGAGCTTCCTAATCACCAGTGTTTTGAACTCTGCATTCATAGGTTGGTTATCTTTGTTTCATTTAGTTCTTTTTCTGGAGTTCTGTTCTGTTCTGAAAAATTTAGGCCATATTTCTTTGTCTCCTTAATTTGGCAGTCTCCCTGTGTTTGTTTCTTTGTATTAGGTAGTGCTGGTTTGACTGCCTGTTTTGGTAGCATGGCCTATTGTAGACAAGGCACCTGTAAATTGTGTGGGGCAGAGCCTTATGTAATCACCAGGGTGGGGCAACATGCTTTACCATTTTGTGGTTCTGTATGGGGAAGGATCTAGAGAGCAGGGACAGTGCCACTGTCTGGGTTCTGGAAGTTTGCCCAGCATGCACCTGTTTCTAGTCACTTTACCCACTCTGCATATATCACTGGTGCCCTTCCAGCTGTTGCCCTGGTGGTGAATTCCAGAGTGGGTGGGTTTGCATACAACCCACCCACTCTGAGACTGTGTGGGCCCTTTAAGTGGTGTCTCCTGAAAAACCGGCAGTTTCTTTCACTGTGCCAACCTCCACTGGTATTATGGCCAGAAGTTATGGGGATTTATCTTCCCAGCACTGGAACCCTGGGCTGTGCAGTCTGGCCTGGGATTGCTCACTCTCAAAGTTTCCCTCCAAATTTTTATACAGCACATGTGAATGTGGGACCACTCACCTGCCACCACCTCTCTGTACCACATCACATCTCCTCACCTCTCCGTTAACCTCTGCATCTCCACCCCTTCTACCTGTCTGGATTAATGTGGCTTCTTTAAATCCTTGGACTTCCATATAGTTTGATTTTCTGACATTTCTGGGTGTTACTTATTTTGAGGTTTAGTTGTATTTTTGTTTGTGGTTGCACAAGGAGGCAAAGCATGTCTACCTTTGCCTCCATGTTGACTGGAAGAACCCCACACTATCTTAATTGCCATAGCTTTACAGTACATTTAAAAAATGGAAGGTAGAAGTCCTCCAGTTTTAATTTTAAAGATTATTTTTGACTACTCTGAGGACCAGCCTTGCTTACATGGAATAAATCCCACTTATTCATGATGTATAATTGCTTTCAATATATTAAAATATTAGTAGCATTCTAAGTTCAGGAGGGATATTTATAAAAATTGTTTTGTAAAGTTTTTGTCTGTCTTTGCACTCGCTTCCTGAATGAGTTGAGAAGTGTTTCAGTGTTTCCCCCTCTTCTATTTTATGGAAGAGATTATGTAGAGTTAGTGTTAATAACTCTTTAAAGATTTGATAGGATTCTCCAGTGAGACTATATGGGCTTTGAGAGTTCATTTTGGAGAGCTTCATAATGAAAAGTTCAATTTCATTAATAGTTATAGGACTCTTCAGATTGTCTATTTTACCTTCATTAAAATTTGGCAGTTTTTGGTACTTAAGGAATTGTTCCACTTCTAACCTGTCATATTTGTGAGTATAAAGTTGTATATAGTACTCCATCCCTTATTTTTTAAAGGCTGTAGTATCTAGAATGATATCTACTATTTCATTCCTAATATTAGTGATTTATGTTCTGTTTTGTCAGTCTTTCTAGAGGTTTATCAATTTTACTGATATTATAAAGAAGCAGCTCTTTATTTCCTTGTGTTTTCCTATTTCCAATTTTATTTTCTGCTCTTATTTTTATTTTATTCCTTTGATTTGCTTTTATAGTTTCTTGAGGTAAGAACTTAAGTTATTGAAGGACTGAAGATGGCAAAGGAGAGGTAGAAGCTATACTAACCTCCTCCCAGGACCAAACTGGAATTACAACTAAATTATAGAAAAATCATCCTGAATAACCAACTGAACACCAGCTGGAGAGAAGTCTTATAACAATGGACAGATAGAAAAAGGTACTTCACCATAACATGTCTGGTAGGGAATGCAGAGGTGAGAGGGGGCTCACTGGGCTGCCACAGGTAGCAACTGAATTTTCAGAGGGATATTTCAGCAGCCAGGGGGTTCTGTCTAAGAAGTGTGGGGTCTAAACTCCAAGCTGAGTTCCCCAGCCTACAGTGCCAGAACTGAGATAGGAACCCAAATAATATATGGCTACAAAGAGCAGTAGAGTTTCTGTCCACCAGGGAGAGATGACTGGATGCAGAGAGCCTCTTAAAGGGCCAATGCACAAAATTCATTTGCAGCCACTTATCCTGGGCTCTGGCAGAGGGAGAGCAGAGTGGACTAGAGGTGAGGAGAGTCTGCAGCTGGTGGCTCTGGGGAGAGAACTGAAGGAACAGCCACCAGGATCCCTGTGCTGAGTCATTCCCCGTACTTCAGAGGCCATCTTTCTCAGACAGAGCACTCCTGTCCACATGGCATCAGCCAGAGGGGATGCAATAGTTCTGCCCACAGGAATTACTCTGCCTGTAATGTGGTGCTTAAGCCCTGCTGCTGAAGAGTACAACTGGAAGACATTCACTGATTAACCCTAAAGAAAGCCTGCTAGTAGAAGTGGGTTGCTGGGAGCTCTGAAACTTTAGCTGATCCTCTCCTAGGCTGCGTGCTGATAAAAGCCAGTGTTGGTGCATAGCTTGGTTCTTTCTGTACACACTCACATCCTGCAGAGGGAGCCACAAGCTATGGATTGTTGATAGCTCCAAACAGGTTGCCCAGGGCCAGTCACAGGCACAATTTGACTTAGGTCTGCATCAGAGTCTTGCAAATCTACTTAATACATAGCAACAAACACAAAGGGGCCAAATGCAAAGACAAAGATATAGCCCCAAATGAAGAAGAAGTAGATGAATTGGAGGCAAGCAATTTATCAGACAGAAAGTTTAGACTAATGGTTATAAGGATACTCAACAGCATAAAAAAAGACACAGAAACCATAAAAGAGGATCAGTCAGAAATAAGAATGTAATATCTGGAATAAATTACACACTGAAAGAATAAGCAGGATAGATGAAGCAGAGGATTGAATCACTAACTGGAAGACAAGATAGAAAAAAAAACACCCAAGCAAAGCAGTAAAAAGGAAAAAGAATTTTTTAAAAAAGAGAGCTTACTAAACATTTTGGACAACATGAAGTGTAACATCAGCATCATGGGAATACCAGGAGAAGAGAGTAAGGGATAGAGAACCTATTTGAAGAAATAATGACCAAAAGCCTCCCTAATCTGGTGAAGGAAAAAGTTGCATTAAGTCCAGGAAGCTCAGAGAGTCCCAAACAAATTGGACCCAAGCAGCTCTACACCGAGATACATCATCATTAAAACAGCAAGGCCTAAAGCAGGGTGTCAAACTCATTTTTATCAGGGGCCACATTAGCCTCACAGTTGCCTTTAAAGGGCTGGATATAATTTTAGGACTGTATAAATGTAGCTATTCCTTAATTAGGGACAAGGAGCTCGGTGCTGCCACCGGGTAGAAACAAGGTGCTGGGCCAGATAAAAGAAGGCAGAGGGTTGGATTCCTTGTGTTTGCTACCTGTGGCCTAAAGCAAGGAGAGAATCCTAAAGCTGCAAAAGAAAAGCAGGTGGTTACATACAAAGGAGTACCAATTAGACTGTCATTTAATCTCTCAAAGAAACATTACAAGCCAGAAGGGAGTGGCATGAAATATGCAAGGTGACGAAAAGCCAGAACCTACAACCAAGACTTTTCCCGGCAAGACTATCATTTAAAATCAAAGGAGAAGAGGCTTCTGGTCAAAATGGCAGCATAGGCAGACATGGCTCACCTCTTCACACAAACCACATCCAAATTACAACTAAAATATAGAACCACCACCACTCAGAACCATCAGAAATCGAGTTGAATACAAGACTGACAACTACAGAATTAAAGAAACCATATCTATCAAGACTGGTAGGAGGGCACAGATATGGAATGGGCTCCTTTCATGTGGTAGATTAAAATTCGGGAGGGCTGTCTTGGGAGGAAGGAGTCTCATGCCCATGCCAGGTCCCTCAGCCAAGGGCTCCAGTGCCAGGAATATAAATTCCCATAATTCCTGGCTGCAAAACCCAGCAGGGTTTGAGTCGGTGGAATAAATTTCTGGACCCCCAAGCAGTCCCTCTTAAAAAAAACCCATGCAGACTCACCTACTCAGGTTCACGCCCTCTGCAGCGGCGGGGTGGCAGCTGGAAGGGCATCGGCGGCATACTGGGAGAGGCTGAAGAGTCTGGGATCAAGGTGAGCACAGGCCACTTTCCCTTTTTTGAGCCCTTTACCCACAGAGCTATGGAGCCAGCAGGCTGGTGCCATATTTGAGATTCTGTTAACCTTGCTAACACTCTTTAACGCTCCCCCAGACCCCCAGAGACTTCATCCCACCCAAGTTGTTTTCCATATGCATGGCTGGTCTTGTCTCACACTTCACAGCTTCCTAAATCCTATCAAACAAGCAACAGCTGGCCTCAGTAAACTCCAGGCTGGGCAATAGCATCAGCCAGATTAGTTTCACAGCTTTGCTTCACCTGGAAATTTCCAAGTGCAAAGCAAGTAGCAGCCTTCTCACATTGCTTTATAGCTCAGGAATCTGACCTCAGGCAAAACACAGATGGAGACTAATATTGGCCTTTACCACCTGTGAAACCCCGGGGCCAGCACACCCTATAGACTATGCTATAGACCATGTCAGAGCACCACCACCCTGGCCCTGCACAGCTGATCCTGCACGGAAGGCAGAGGTTGGTGGCAAGTGGACACGGCCAATCCTTGCAGCTGACTGGCCTGATTAAATCCCTCCCACTGACCTGCCAACAGCAACCAAGGCTCAACGACAAGAGGAGGGTTTACTCAGCCCACCTGAAGGATGCACCTCGAGTACACAGCTTGGGTGATAGGGGAGGCAGTGTCACGTGACCCTACAGGACACCAATATTCGGTTGTTTCCAAGAAACATTTAAAGTGATTTTAATGGATACATACTATATACAGAAATATAAATTACATATAGGCAAAAAAAGAAAAGAGGAAAAGTAAGGCTGGTGCAAAGCTGCTTCCTGTGATTTTCTGTACTTGCAATAAATATCTTGTAAGAGAGCACATTGTTGAAGTATTTCCTGTGCCGTCTCTTACTGGGTCCTCAGAAGCACTTGGGATGGGACATGGGGACAGCACGGTGGACTTCTGACATGGAGGGACTCTCTAGATATTCTAGAGTGACATAAGTTCCCATGAAACTCACCCTATAGTACTCCATAGATTCTCTGCTCCTGAAACATAGTTGATTTTTTTCTTAAAGATTCCTGAGTTCTCTCTTTGAGAATGCTCATGGTTCTGAGCAGTGTAACCTAGTAGAAGACTCAGGCTACTAAGATCTTGAGGAATCAATCACATCTCATTTGGGTTCATTACAAGTCAGAGACTATCTACATATGCAGACAATGGAAACCAAGGCTAAAATTAAGTCGTTAATTCCAAAAATCTTGTTTTTCAAATTCTTCAGTTTGATTCTCAGAATCTAAGCCCAAACTTGTTAAATGTAGACTTGCAGTGTCCTTGCCAAGTCACCTGGAAGTCTAGGTGATGCTGACGACATGCAGGAGCTAAGAAGTAGCCACTGAAGTGGTGCTGTGCCCGGTGACTAAATGACCACACTCCTTCCACTATGGGAGCTGTCTCTCTCCTGAGGAATAAAAGAACACAAAAAATCCAGTCAGCTGGGCTCTGTTGTCTGTGCATACAGTACACAAGGTGTGCTGGACTGAGGTGCAAATCTTAGGTGAGTGGTGGCTGCTGGGACAGCAGATCTGAATCCCAAAATTATTTTTTAACTCTTCATAAAGTCAGACTCTACCTAAAGGGTTAGGTTTCTCTTCCTATCTTTCTTGAGCCTCCCTCAAACATCTTTAATTTCTGAAAACTTCTTACAGTCTCATTCACTCTGCCTTTTGCTGAGTTTTAACATCTTCAAGGCCCCCTTAGATAAAAAAAAAAGGCACCCTGCTTCATTTATCAGTCTTTCTCTCCACCATTCATTCATAAAGCCATTGCCCAGTTCTTTTCCTGTTTACATTCTCCTGAACTCTTCCTTCTCAGCCCTCATTTAAAAGGTTTAAGTTCATGTATAGTGCTTCTCTGAAGTTATTTTTCAAAGATTACTAATTAACTCTTCTTAAGCGAATCAGTCACTTTTTTTTAGACATTCTTCCCCTTGATCTTTCGGCTTTTTAAACTTGCTTTATGAGGGTAAGGACTATGGTTTGCATTCCTCGCATTTCTCTTTGTGTCGGTGGAGACTGTTTTATTAAGGTTCTGAGTATCTGCAGCTGTAGTCCATGAATGTGACCTTTCTTATCTGATTTGAAATGGCAAGATAAGGTATCTATCCCAAAACATATTGATCAAAATGCATCATATATGTATGTATACTCATGTTCTACTTTTAAATTTTTTGTGTGTTTCCATTTTATCAGGAAAGTGAGTTTTAGGGTAGGGGGTTTCTAATAAAAGGGCTATGGGATAAATACTCTCTAATACAAGGGAAAGCAACAAAATGGGGCAAAAGGAACTTGTTCAGGGTTTGCTGGAAAAAAAACCCTAGACATTTTCAAGGATAGACATTTTACTAAAAGGAGAAGATGAAGTATCCTGATCTAAATATATTTATTAAGACAGAATCAAGAAAAAAGAAAAACAATCCTAGACTCTTGATAGAAAGTTTTGAGTTTAGCTTGGAGAGGAAAGGATGCAATGATTTTCTCTTAGAACAGGTATTAGAACGGGTATATACAGACCAAGTTCAGAATAAATCCGAAACATCTTGAAAAGTCCTTTCTGATAGGGCATGATTGGAAAGAAGGGTAATCAATTTGATTTGAACCTAAAAACAAAAACAAACTAAGCACACATAGAACAGGAAGAGAATCACAGAAATGGAGAGCACATGGAGGGTTATCAGTGGGGAGGGGGTGGGGAGAGAATGGGGGAAAAAGGTATGGGGAGTAAGAAGCATAAATGTTAGGTACAAAATAGGCAGGGGAAGGTTAAGAATAGTATAAGAAATGGAGAAGCCAAAAACGTATATGTGTGACCCATGGACATGAACTAAGGGGGAACTAATCCTGGAAGAAGGGATGGTGCAGGACGGAGGGGGTAAATGGGAGAAATGATATGAGACAACTGTAATAGCATAATCAATAAAATATACTTAAAAAAAGAAAATAGTAATCAATCATATCCACTCAAGGGGTAAAACAAACTTCAAGTTATACATAATCAAAGATCACCATCTAGTGGCCCAAGTGTTTTATAACTTCCAAAGGTAGCTGCAAGTGCCAAAGACTTCTTCAGAGGCTAAGGAGGTGTGTGGGAAGCACCCAGCCCCACCAAGCAGAGGAGAAGAGTAAGATTTTGGCCTCACTAAAGGCATTCAATGTTCAGGTTACACACAAAGCACCATGCCCTTCTAACCCACCAATCTTCCAAATCAGGTTTCGGGCCTGGCCTCTCTGGTCACTCAGAATATGAGTGGACAGTTGAATGTGATTAAAGTAAAGTGATAGCTCTTTGGGAGATAAGCTCAGAGACATCCAAAACAATGAGGGCTTTAAAAATGATCTCCAGTGAAATCTTTGCTTCTCACCAGCAACTTTACAATAAAAAATATAGTTTACTCGTGCTAGAATTATTGGTGTGTACATCTGTATGATAAAGGGAGCTTTCAGAAAATGAAGAAATAAAGCCACCAGGAAACAGCATTGCCCCACACAGCACAACTGAAAAGGGCACAGGTTTGAGAGTCAGAGGACTGTTCAAATTCTGGCTTCGCTCCGTGTTGCCGGCATGACTCTGGGCATGTTCCTTAATCTCACTGAACCTCGCATGGCTGTTGATGATATGAAATACAGCTTGAAAAGGGCTTACCCCAGTGTCTGCAACATGATTGGCATTGCTTTCACCCTTCTCTAACTTAAAAGAAACCATATAATTTAACTTAGAAGAAAATAAAGACAAGAAGGAAATTAAAAGAAAATAGGGTTTGGGTTAAGGCCCAAAGCTGGCTTTTAAATTGCATTTCTCTGTTAAAATGGAGTTAAGAGACAGTGCAGTCACTCTATAATTAAAGTAACAGCAGTGTTCCCAGATCTCACCCATTCTGTGCTTTCCCTCAGGATGTAATTTTCTTACTAGTAACACAGGAGGGAGGGTTGTACCTACTGTAAAATGAAGTCAACGGTACAAATCTCACCCAGTGTTATAAGGATTAAATGAGGTGTAGCATAAATGTCCATAGCTCAGTACCACCTAGGGTACTACTAATTTTCAGTATTACTGGTCTTTGCCTCTCTCATGGGGCATCTGTGAGAAAAGGGTAAGATTGTCATTGATTATTTCAGAAATGCCCACAGGCCTTTGCCGCCATCTGCACAAATCACTCTCTCACCAAGGTGCTTCTCTAGAAAGACCAGCACAGTGCCTCCAGGTATCAGTTCTTTTGTACCAACTGTGTGCGCTGGCTTTTAAACAAATGACAGCAGAATCTGCGTTTCCAACTGTGTGCCATATGCTTCAAAGTGTGTGAGACTGAAATTCTTGTTTCTATAATATCCCTTCCCTTGGGAACTGCTCTTAGAGCTACAGATCCCTTGATCTCAACAGAATCAAAACAGAAAAAGGATTCTGGACAAATAAAGAAATAGATTTTTGTACACAGCTTGTAAGTTGACTCTGAAGGTAGTTCATAAATACTTTTTGAGTCGTGACAGCATAACTTTGCAAAATGACAACATTAAAAGAATATCATTGCCCTGGCTGGTATGGCTAAGTGGATTCAGTGCTGGTCTATGAACCAAGGTGTTGCCGGTTCAATTCCCAGTCGGGGCACATGCCTGGGTTGCTGGCCAGGTCCCCAGTTTGGGGTGTGTGAGAGGCAACCATATATTGATATTTCTCTCCCTCTCTTTCTCCCTTCTTTCCCCTCTTTCTAAAAAAAAATAATAAAGAATACCATCACCCTGACCAATGTGGCTCAGCTGCTCAATTGAGTTATTCGACAAAGCAAAGGTTGCCTGTTTGGTTCCCAGTCAGGGCACATGCCTAGGTTTGCAGTTTTGGTCCCTGGTCGGGGCTCGTAGGAAAGGCAACTGATCAATATGCCTGTCTCACACTGATGTTTCTCCCCCTCTCTTTCTCTCTCCCTTCTGCTCTCCCTAAAAATAAATAAATAAAATCTGCAAAAGAATACCATCATTTGGGTATATTAATTATGAAATCATTTTTACAGTTACATCTTTAAAAAAATGGTCTCTATTCAGAGGCCCAAAAGCCTACATCCCTCTTAGCAACCCTTTCAGGCTGGTAAGCTGACCCCCACCTGCCGTGATAACCTTGCCTGTTCAGAGTCCTCAAGTTTTGAACCACATTTGATCTTTTTTCTTACGTTAATCAGTTCAACGATGCTTTCCCAGGAAGGGGGCGGGGTTTCAGAGGACCTCATCTTTGACTACAACAGGGTCTTGCACACTGACTTGAAGCGCCAGAAGTAGCACATACATCCTCTGTCACACCACGTGTTCTAATTTGGGGTATGGAAATACAGTTGCTAAGTAAAGCAAAGCAGCTGTGACAGGAAGTAAAGCTTCAGCCATCAAGACCAGTGTTCAAGTCCTGGCGCCACTTTTCACTTGGTGCTTAATTATTCTGAGCCTCATTTCCTCATCTGTGAAATGGAGGGACCTGAGGATGAGAAAGGCTTTTGTAAGCATCCAGGACCTCATCTGCTCTCTGAACTCACTAGGTCCCTTCTAGCTCTGTAAGAGGTGTCTCGCCATAGGGCTAGCTGAGCAAAACAGAGAAGAGGTACCCTCAGCAGTGGCAATGTGAGGTGACCTTGTCAGCTGTGGCCAAGCCTGGCTGGAGGGTCCCTTCTGACCATGCCCTACCCTCAGCAGGATGTCCCAGGCTCACCGAGCGCCTCTCCACATTCCCTTTTTTCCTGCCATTCTTGCCTGGGATGACATCCAGTGAGCGGTAGCTGGGTGGCTTCTCCTCAGGCCAGTTTGGGGAGTGTGGACGGCGGCGGTGGGCCCCCCGGCTCCGGGGTTGTCTCTCCTTCTCCTCCTCAGAGCTCCAAGAACTGAGGTCCGAGGGCAGGGGAGGGGAGTAGCTGCGGTGCCTGCGTGTCTGCTGCCTGTGGGCGCTCTCCCGCGGGCTGGGCCGGCGGGGTCTGTCTGGGTAACGGCTCCGGAGAGGCGGGTGGTTGAGCCACTGCCAGCGGTCCTCACTGGACAAAGGGCCATCGCTGAGGCTTTCCCCGTCTGACCAGGGCATGGGTGATGTGTTCAGCCTGGAGCTGCGGTGCCTTCCACCCCGAAGGTGGTCCAGCTCCCTTCGTTCCAATGCCCATCGCCTAGGCTCCCGGTCCTGGAGCTCCTGGTGGAAATCAGAGAGGTGGTGCTGCCTTCTCTCCTCACTCAAATGCCAGGGTCCTGGAGAAACCGGGGGAAGCCATTGCTGGCGAGAGGAGTTGCTGGTCCTCGGAGCAGACGGCAGGTGTCTGATCAGTGGGGGCAGGCGGATGATTCTACGTTCCACAACCTCCGAGCCCAGGGAGGACAGCATACTGCAGGGTTGGCCGGATATGGCTTTGAGGTCAGGGGTCAGGGGTAGGGCCGGGTTGAAATTCCGCAACTCCTTCTCCAAATACTCCAGGACACCATTGGTGATGGGAGGGTGAGCAGTGGTCTGGGTCATTGGCATCTGCGGGAGGCTGGATTGCAGGGACAAATCTGTAATGAAAACAAGGATAAGAACTTGGAGAAAAGCTGACCCACTGCATGCTCCTCTGAACTGGGACACCAAAATGCCACATTATTTACCTTGCATCCATCCCTCCCACCCTCAACCATATACATACCCACCCCATTGGTCAAAAAGGCCTGAGGCAGCCCGTGCTCCTCCCCTTGCCCTCTCCCACCCTAAATCTCTGGCAAGGTTTACCTCGCTGCAGCAGTTGGTTCATTGGATAAGATGAAAACTGGGAGCTTCTGTCCGCCCCCCAGTACAGGGGTTTTTCCATCATCTGAGGGCCTAGGGTCTGAGCCTGCTTCATGTGGCGGTGGCGGGCCAGGGCTGTGGGGGGAAAAGGTGAAATGCAGACCCTCCCCCAGGGCAAGGCCCACACCTCCCACTTCACTTCTCGCCGCCCAGCAGCCTCGCCAGAAGGCCAGTTACCCTCCTCAAAGTTTATTATGAACTATCTTGCATGGCAGTTCGAGGCAATGTAGTAGAAATCAATTGTTCCTCTGGGAATAAATTCCTTAGGCAAGACTGATTCCCGCACCTCAGGCTAGTATACTCTTAAAATGGACTTCCTAATGTTGAAGACATTTCATCATCCTGCCCATTCCCAAGGTCACCTATAATGTATAGGGACATACATGGTAATTAGCAGGCAGTGAAATCTCAGGCCATAAACCAACAAGGTCTTCAGCCACAGGCCAAATATAGCCGGTACAGACGCAAGAGTTTACAGGAGGCTGGGTCAGGGGCTGCCAGGGAAGCTCAGGGCTGCCTGTTCAGAGTGGAAAAACAAAAAGAGAAGGACGTAGATGCTGAGGTAAATGGGCAGAATTACTGGTAAAGATGCTTCTAGCCAGTAGGAGAAACCCAGTGGAAGGCAAGAGAAAGCAAAAAGCTGAAGTGGATCCAGTGGACGTTTTGTACCCTTCTCCGACATTAGTAAGTGTTGGGGTTTTCCCCTAAGTAGTGGGGAATCTCTGAGGGGTGGGGCGAGGCAGAGAAGGGACAAAGGAAACACCATTTCCTATCAGGGCAAAAATAATAATATAAAAAAGCAGCACCAGGTTTCCATGGAAATGTGACTCTAGTCCCTAGGTGGAGTTGGTCTGAAACTCATCACCCATAGTGAGTGAATCTTAAAAACAAAAGCATGTGGTTGTTTTTGTTCATGAATTTCTGTTTTGAGGTAACTTTGACGAGTGCCGTGTCTCCCAAAGTTCCTGACTACCCATGCGTGTAGGGAGTGTGCTCGTGTGTTTGAGTGCAGGAAGCGCCTGCCTCGGGCCCCCAGCCTAGCACTCACACCTCCTCTTGGGTTCCCAAGCCCCGAGGCCACCCCCGACACAGCCGGCTCTACCTGAAGCCTCCTCCTGCCACAGGAGAGGGAAAAGAAGGCAGGCACTTTGGACCCAGCAGCACAGGGTGGAGAATTTGGTGAGGCCACTGGGACAGCTATTCTGCCGCTTGTCTCCAATGTGAAAAAAACTTCCAGCACAACAGGAAGTGGTTGCAGCAGAGCCCCCAGAAATGTCTGGAGCTCCAGCCCTAATGGTGAGTCACAGCCCAGCCTGGAGGAAATTGCATGCAAACTTAAAGCAGCTCATGCAGCTGCTACACCTTCAAGCCAATGGACAGCACTCCAGACCCTCCAAAGACAAGTCCACATGCTCAGTACTTTCCTCTTGCTTTTGCCAACACATGCCTCCCCCAGGTCCCTGTGTGCACCACTGTCAGTATATATAATGCCCTGCTTGGTATGTGCTACTTTGCATAAGGTAACTGGTCCTCAGAGAAATCTTCAATGTGGGATCAAATGAGGAAGTTGGGCTCCTAGATGTTACCTCCCCAGCCCACAGTCCAACAGCAGGTGACTGGCAGAGACAGGATGTGACCTTGTGTCTGACACCCATGTCTGTACTCCTTCTGCCAAATCCCTGAGTCCCTAGACTCCTTTATTTCTATGAAGCAAAAAACCCTTGCTCAGCACTACCTCCTCATTTCTCTCCAGCTCATCTCTACACCTTTCAAACCCCCCTCCAGCTTAGTCTCTGCCCCCAAGGCTGGGGGGCATCTGATTCCATTGGGAACAACCTTATACATCCCCTGCCCCTCTCATTGACTCCTGGCTTCCTCTCCTAAAATTGTAACTACTTTTTGCCTGTTAAGGAGTTGAAATTACATTTGGCCTTTTGAAAGCAAGCCTAAGGCTGATGTGCCCACCCCCCACCACCAGTGAAAATGAGTTTGACACCCCTGTTCTCTGAATGGTACCATTCCCCATTTTGGCCACTTCCTCCAGTTGAATAGGAGACAAAGAGAGCACTAGGTTTACTCCTAGCTCTCTAAATACTTCTCTTATTTAAAAAACATCTTCACCTGAGCATTTGTTTATTGATTTTACACAGAGAGGAAGGGAGGAGGACGGTGCAGAGGAGAGGGCAGGGGGGAGGAGGGGAAAGGAGGAGAGCAAGGAGAAGGCAGGGAAGGGGAGGAGAGAAACATCGATTGGTTGCCTCCCCCAGGGGTCACAACCTAGGTATGTGTCCTGACCAGGGATGGAGCTCCCAGTGTTTTGCTATACCAGATGATGCTCCAATGAACAGAGCCACTCTGCCAGGGCTGTCCAAATGACCTTTTTAAGTTAAACAGACTCTCTGCACAGATAACTCCCTAGGGATCCTTCCAGATCCTCCGGGATATTTTGTTCAAATTTTCACACACTCCAGAGAGTCACCTTGTTCCTTTCTTCGCTGCTACCACCTTTTTTCTCAGGGGTCCTCCCTTCCCTGATGCACAGGAACTAACAACAGTAGAAAACACAGCCTCTGAGCTTTCTCCCTTGCTCATCCTGACCCTGGAAACAGCCCTATGGGGACATGTAAACTATCAAGAGTTTCTGCTGCTCAGCTAAAGGGGAATCAGACAGGCAATAAAATAAGAAGCACAGAGAAAGCAACGCAGCTTCAAAAGACTCCTAGAGAGTTATCTCAGAACCACAGTGGAGTCAAGTCTTCCTTGGTCACCTTTAATGAGCTGATTAAAAATGCAAACTCCTGGATCCCGCTTCCCAGAAACTCCCCTTCAGTCTAATGGAAGGCAAGAAAATCTGTGTTTTCAACAAATTCCCTCATTCTAATCCGGGGAGTGAAATTGGAGTTGACTACTGAGGATCCTCAAAACCTTCTGAAAAGTATGATCCTCGGGGATAGGTTTCCTTACATATAGCTTTGAGGGTCAGATAAACTTAACTGGAATCCCAGCAGGTACTAGCTGTGTGATGCTGAGTGAGTTTTCAGAGGATCTAGGCCAAGTCTCTTCCTATGTGAGATAGAAGTGATACCTGCTTCACAAGATTGTTGAAGTTAAGTGAGGTAATACACAAAAAGTGCCTAACACATGACTGTCAACAGATAGTGGCTCTCACTGTTCTAATAAATTATTAGAGTAAGCTGCTTCTTTTGCCCTAGATGCCATAGGAGACAAAAGTACATATTTGGAGACTAAACCACCCAACACACATTAATCTTCATTTCGCAGGAAGACCTGGGGCATGTTCTTTAAGATGTCTCCTTCCTGATGGAAATGACACTCAAACCGCCCCCACCCCTCCAGACACCCTCGCCTCTTGTCCTCTGCAGCCAGCGTCATCTGTGGTTCCCCTGAGGAGCTCCAACCGCGTTGGCCTGTAACTGCTTACCATTCCTTACCACCTCCTTTCCACTCTAACAAAACTCACTCTTTGCCTTCTTTCGATCTAGGGTCACACAGTCCTTTTGCTTTTTCCCACATGACCAGTCACCCATATGACTTGACTGGCTAGTCATTTCATTAACATCCTCAGCAGCTTTCTAGAATCCCACACCCTTTGAACTCTTACAAACTCAGCTTTAGGGAACCACCAGCACATGCTTCCTGGCCACACACTGCGAGAGCTGACTGCACTGCAGGGGAGGGGAACCGACCTCAAGCAGCCCTGCTCCCACCCTGACTTGCCCTGACTGATCTATCGACCCTGCTTCCCTCGTCTAGAGCAGTAGTTTAAACATATCCCACTTCTCATGTCTTACCCTCCTCATGAATTTTCAGCTGATGAGATTATCTTTGTTGAGGAAGAGGAACCAGCCCTGGGTAGGGAATCAAGGGACCTAGTTTTAATCCAGGCTCCACCACTAATAGTGTATACTTATCAGAAAGTCTCACTAGGCCTCACCTCCCTCACCTGAGAGGCTGATGGGGTGGTGCGTGGCACAGATCAGAGATTCCCGTGTGGCCTGTGGTCTATTGCGGGGAGGAGGGCCAGTGATCTAGGGATGAAAACTGTTTCTCTAGTTCTCACAGAAAAAAATAAGTTTCCATTTCAATAACTTTCATCTTTAAGTTCTACTTGCTGTTGGTTGTTTACTAGTACTAAGTAAATTATCAAAAGTTACTGAAATGTGCCCTGACTGATGTAACTCAGTGGGTTGGGCGTTATCCTGCAAGGCAAACGGTCACTGGTTCAATTCCCAGTCAGAGCACATGCTTGGGTTATAGGTTTGGCCCCCAGTTGGGGTGCATACAAGAGATAACCAATTGATGTTTCTCTCTCATATCGATGTTTCTCTCTCTCTTTTATTCGTCCCTTCCTTTCCCTCTCTCTAAAAATAAAACCTTTTTTTAAAAAAAAAGAGTTACTGAAATGTGGTGTTATTTTCATTTTTCTCCTTTATTAACTCTCACTAGAAAGTGGAGCAGGTCATGGAGGTTGGCTGTGGTCAGAGAAATTCAAGAACCACTGACATCATTCTTAAAGCTCTCTTCTGTGTCTAGAAGTTTGACTTGTCCAATGTGATCTGCCTCAGCTTCCTCCCTTACATTTTCATCATTGTCTATATTATAATGACTTCCTTGCTTTCTTCAGAGGTCAGGCTGTCTTTCCCTTATTTTCTAAAGGCAGTCATTTCCCTGTAAGCCTGATGTCACTCCCATTGGTTCCATCACTCCTCAGTGATCACCTCCCTTTAGTGATTTTCCATAAGCCTTGGGTCTTGGCCTACAAATATGCTTATGGTTCTCTTTTACAAAACCAAACAGAAAACAATCACACACACGCACACACACACACACACACACACACACACACCCCTTCTCTATCTAAGAGCTTTCCTAACAACTTCTGCCCCCTCCATATAATTTCTTGTCACCAAACTTCTCAGGACAGTGACTCACTTCAGAAGTGACCTCATCTGCTCCAGTCTAGGGACCTTTATTTGTGGACTGCACTTCTTGCCTTTACCAGTTCTTCTAAATGACCTCTATCCACTTAGGAGGAACTACTCTCCGTGGGAACCTATTAATCAGCTGACCGACAGTGGGTACATCTATCCTTTGTGGAGGGTTTGCCCTCAGTTCTACCTGTTTTGAGTGTCCCACTGATTTAGGGATTCTAAGAAGGCTTTGAGAGGGTTCTTCTCATCTCTTCCTGTACATTACTACTCCAGTGACAGTGACTTCTTCATGGCATCTCCCCTGGAGGCCCCATAAAGGTAGGGAGCACCACAGCCCAATACTGAACTTTCAGCTATTTTTCCTCTATTTAAGAAGTTTACTGGTATTACACCCAACCATTGTGATCTGCGCATAGAGGTTGTGGCGGGCTCTACTGTGGGAAATTCAGGCTCTCATAAGTCAGATAAACATGGGTTAGACACTGTACCACCGCTGCTGCTTACTATGTGACTTCTCTGACCTTCAGTGCCCTCATCTGTTAAAAAGTGATGATACCTGCCTTCTAGGGTTGTGAAGATTCAATGGGGAAACATGCAAAGGGCCTACGCAGACCAAACATCCAATAAAAGTTAGTTCTCTTTTCCTGTAAGACAGCAACCTTAGAACGCAGTCCTGAAACCAGACTTAGACCATTGACCTTCTTGACACTGTAGATTAGGTTTTGTTTCCATCTTAAGAGGCAATTCCTTATTTCCCTCTTTTAAAAATTCCCTTTCAAAAGGAGCAAAATGAGAAGAGTGGTTATGTTTGGATACTAAGATTAGTCTTTACAAATTCCAGAATTTCTCAATTTTTCTACAATGTAATACTTATCAGGAAATGTTATTTTTGTTATTTTAAAAACACAAATACCCCTTCCATGAAAAGAAGTTAATTCCACTCCAGCTATCTACTAAGAAAAGATTATTGTACAACAATTCATTATTCTTTTATCTTCACCATGCATCCTGCAGCCAAATTGTTTAGGGCATGTCATAATTCTGTTTTAAAAAGTCATATGTCAGCCCTGACTCATGTAGCTCAGTGGCTTGAGCATCATGTCACAGACCAAATGGTCATTGCTTCGGATCCCAGTTGGGGTAGGTGCCTGAGTTGCAGGCCAGACCCTTGACCAGGGTTACGCAAGAGGTGACTAACTGATATTTCTTTTGCACAAAGACGTTTCTCTTCCTCACTTTCTCCCTCCTTTCTCTAAAAATAAATAAATAAATAATTTTTAAAAAGTCAAATTTCAGACTAAAGAAAGATCACAATAAGAGCACAATATTCTCCCACTCCCTTTTCCCTTCCCCTAACACACGGATCCCCAAAGTGTGGCCCCCAGACCAGCAACGTCACATCACCCAGGAACTTCTGATAAATGCAACCCTCAGGCCCGCCCCAGATCAATTCAATCAGAAAATCCAGAGGCGAGGCCAGCAATTAAGCTTTAATAAGCCCTCTAGGTGATTCTTAAGTTTGAGAACCACTGTTCTAACATCTCTTTCCTTTAATCTGCTCTTTTTAAGTCATCTCTAAGGAGCGGGCTCCGCTCTTTGCTGCTACCTTTAGTTATTTATTTACTTGCTTATTTATACCCACCTGACAATATGTTTATTGATTTGAGAGAGAGAGAGAGACAGAGAGGAAAAATACACTGATGTGAGAGACAAACACTGAACGGTCACCTCCCACACACACCTCGGCTGGGGACAAAACCCATGAACTGGGTATGTGCCCTGACTGGAAATCAAACCAACAACCTTTTGGTATATAGGACGATGCTCCAACCAACTGAGTCATCCAGCCAGGGGTCTCACTGCTACATTTAAATCACTCCCTTCAGCTACCTCATGGTTAAGCAAGGTCAGTGCCAGGATCATACAGTGGAGCACAGGGGTATCAGAGCCGCCGAGGATATGCCATCAGTAGGCACAGCCATCTGAAAAGGCCTGAGACAGGCTCGAATAAGGCCAAGAAAAAGTCCTCTCACTTGACTCTGTAGCTTGCTCAAGCATCATTTTCTGAGCTGAGGCTAAAGACCCCTAAATCTGTGATGGGAGAAGGTCATGCATGAGAACCTGAAAGAACACAAGGTTTTAAATCTGATCTGTTTGGGGCACCAGGCACCAGCAGCATCCCATTGCACTGCTTGTCCACCCACTCTCACCTTCCTCGGGGCAGCAGCAGCGATTGGGACAGCAGGGGCAGCGGACGTAGCAGCAGCAATACTGAGGACAGCACTGGCACCAGCACACTCCAATCAGCAGGAGCAGGAGGAGGGCTCCCATAATGATGAAGATCACTGTCAGCCAGTCTGCAGGGGAGAAGCCAAGCAGGAGCTGAACTAAATACACAGGGGCATGTTTCCAGTTCTAATACCCTAGAGGTCTAATAAACACAGCTTTTGGCCCATGGGTTAAGGTTGAGCAATATGATGCAAAAAGGAAAAAAAGTTTAGCTCTGGTAAAGGAACTTCAGAGATTGGCAAACCTGGGCTTGCCTGTTTCTGCTTTTTGCTTTTTGTTTTTTTATATGAAAATAAAGTGTGTCAGGATGGGGTGGAAAAATGGAAAGTTCCTGCAGCACTTACGTAGGACAATGAGCTTCACCTCCTTATCTGGGTCACCTGATGTGTCCCCTGGAGCCTCAATGGTGCAGTAATACACTCCATGGTCCCACCACATCACTTCATTAATCACAAGATCTGCTCCTGCAAGAAAGGAGGGAGAAAGTGCCACTGATTAAAAGAGAGGGAAATGATCTGTGACCTATGACAGTGTCAAGACCCTACCTAGCAATGTCCTTCCACATTCTAAAAGGGCCCTTGGTAGTTCAGGGAAAGACCTCAATTCTTCTTTTGAGACTTTCTTCTTTCTCCAGACAGTATCATGGTGGTAGAACAGATCACACATTGAGCCCTACAAGGTATCTTGAAAGGATTTGGGATGCATCACCTCATTTAATTCCCACCACAACCTCTAAGTGGGCGTGGTAGAGATTATCACTTGTCTCCCAGTGTCCATTCTCCCTTTCTTTCACAGTCTTAGAATTTCTGGTCATGTATGTGGCCACCCAGAATAAAGTCAGTAATTCCCATTCTCCCTTACTGATGGAAATGGACATGTGACTCGGTTCTGGCAGATGGAATGTAAGCGGAGGTGTTACACGATAACTCTAAGAACTTTCTTTAAACAGTCTGGGAACACCTTTGCCCTTTTGTTCTTCATTTCTTCTTCTACTCTGTTATCTGGAAAGCAACTGTGATGGCTGCGATCTTGGACCCTAAGGAAGAAGGCGATATTCTTGGTGAGCTGGAGGAGCTTGGGTCCCTGGGGATTTAATGGAAGAGAGCCACCATACTAGTTCTGGACTGTCTACCTTCAAATTTATACATGAGAAGAAAGAAACCTTTCTGTTTAAGTCACTAATGTTTTGGGCTTCTGCTTACTCACAATCAAACTTAATCCTGAGACGGTGGGTACAATTATTAGCTGCATTTCAGGTGAAGAAACCAAGGCATAGCAGGCCTTGGTCTTCTCCAGAAGGTTAAGAAACTGGCCTAACAACAGAGAGATGATACTTAGCAGAGGTAGATTCAAGCCCCTGCCTCCTTGCCTCACATTTGGCACTGTTAACCACTGAGCTCTCCAAACGAGGTAGAAAAATGCCACAGCCTGGATGCCTTGCCACCTGCAAAGAGATACCTCTGACTGATGAAGGGATAGATTATGAGATAAGCCTGAATAGGAGGGTTGAAATGCCAATATTTTAAGAGTAAATGTTACTCAAAAAAAGAATTTTCATTCTCACAAGCACCAAGTGCTATGCTACCCCCCCTAAGGTGGATGAATGGTATGTTCAAGATTAGAGAATTCAACAAATGCTCACTGAAGACCTTCTGTGGGTCCAGCACTATGTCAGATACTGTGGAAGATCTCAGGAGGAAATGTGGGTAATCCAAAGAGGAAGAAGCCCCATCTCTGTCCTAAAAGGGCTTAAAGTTCACTCAGAGGCATCAGGGCAGCCTCCACGTCCTCTCTATTTTAGCCACGGTAAGTACCAGGGGCCATCTCCAAATTCTTCAAGACCTTAGCATTACAGACTTGCTCCTGTTTAGTTGACAGTCACAGCTGCAATTCTTTAAAAAAATTTTTTTAATTAAAATGTAGCTGGCATACAATATTGTATTAGTTTCATGTATATGACAGTGATTCAACATTTAGACACCATTTGAAGTCATCACCTAGTAAACATGATAAGTCTAGTAAATCTGTGTACCTGCAATTCTTTACCATTTGTTTGTCAAGAAATGTTTATTGAGGAAATGAAACAAAAAATGTGAGGTCATGCAATATTGGAGCTAACTCGGACTTCTGTTTCCCTCTATTTCTACGTCAATCCCTACAATTTCTTCCTACCCATGATTTTCCACTGCCTTTTCCAGAAACAAGCTTACCACAGATTTGGAATAACGGTGAAAATGCTTTGGGGGAAATTCCCCCTCAAAAGTTAATACATATTATAAATCTGCCCCAATTTTTATCAGTGACATTAAGGATTGTTTATGGATGTCAGAGTAATGAGGACATTTAAATATGTTAACATTTTGAATGATCCAAGAACTGTCTTGGATCATGTGACAGGATTTGACAGGGTCATCTCACACAGCGCAGACATGCGTAGAAAAGTATCAGAAAACAAGGGCTCCAGATGTCACGAGCCTAGAGGTAAAAATAAAAACCAAGGGGGAAACACCACTTTCCCGTGGGAGTAAGAAAGAGTCCGAGTCTGATCTAAAATGGTTGATTGGGAGTGAGATAGTAGACAACACCACTCACCATTAGAAAGAAAAGACAATAAAGTAAGGACTATCACCTATGGGGACTTTCAACCTTCAAACAACTGTAAAGGAGACTTGCTATTAAAGAGACTTTAAACTTGAGTCATATCAGAGCTAATTCTGTGGGCTCCAGAGAAAGTGGAACCACCCCAAATCTTTGAGAATGCCCCTGAAGACTAGAAAAGGACAAATGTTCCCCAAGGCCAGGAATTCAAGCACTGCTTAGGGAAATCAGAGGTGGAATGTAAAAGGATCAGACTTAAGTCAAATGAGAAACAAAGTTGAAAGACAATTGTTAAACTGTCTTTATTTTATTATTATTTTTTTTAATCCTCATCCAAGGACATTTATTTTTCAATACTTTTAGAGAGAGAGGAAAGGAGAGGAAAAATGACAGAGAAACATTGATTTGAAACAGAAGCATCGATTGGTTACCATATGTACTTGGACCAGGGATGGAACCTGCAACCCAGGTATGTGCCCTGACTGGAAATTGAACCCACAACCCTTATAGGACAACATTCCAAACAAATGAGCCACACAAGCCAGGGCAAACTGGCTCGCTTTAAACGATCTACTTCTAAACGGTTACAGAACATTAACTGATTTCTCCACATTGCTGCTATGGGTACGCTGAGTATTCCCCCCATCCTTTTTTCCTTTTTAACCAGTAAATGTTTATGTAACACAGCACACAAAGCTCACTGAAATCAGTTCTGAATTTTGTGCCAATAACCCATCACACTAATCCTGAATTAAAAGATAGGAATGTGGAGTGCTAACCAATCCATCCAAAAGTATGCTGAGTGATCATAACTAAACTTCGCTGCACAATTACTGTTTGCTAAGTGCTTTACGCATACCGTCTCACTTAATCCTGACAAGGTGCTGTCCCCAGGTACTGTCATCAAGTTTCACTTAACAGAAAATGAGGCCAAAAAAATTGAAGGGACTTGCCCAAGTTCACACACCCCATAAGTACAGAATGAGGACTCACACCTGAGTCTAATCACCACTCCCTGTACTGGACACAGTGAATAGATACGCTTTAGATATGGCTCTCAGATACCACATTTGATATTCACTTCAGTGTGAGGAGACAGAGACCATTATGCTCATCTTTCAGAGGCGGTAACAGAAGCTAGAGAAAATATCTGCCACTGCTCACTGAACCAGCATGTGGAAGTAATGCAACACTCAGCCAGGTGTTTTGACTCTAAGCCCAATGTTCTTTCCTGTACCAGTGGAGGCTGCTGGTCTCAAGGTGGTCATCTACTTGGAAGGCTCTGTTTTCTTGAACATGCATAACAGGCACGACCAGAGGGAAACTCAGGAGCCTGGGTTCCAGCAGACTCTGAGAGCAATTCATAGCAGGGGTCAAAGAGCCTCTTCCACTCCCAAACCATCCACTCCCAGACCTTTAGCCAATGCTCAACCAGAGACCAACTTCCAAAGAAGTGACTTTAGATGATGCAGCACATTCTGTATATCTGGCATTTTACTCAAACAATGGCAAGGACCAAGGAGATCATCGGGCAGCAGAGAAAAAGGGAAATCCCCACAATGACTCAGCCCGGTGTCTTCACCCTGCCCCCCTCAGTCCCCTGCTGCCTCCCCACACTCACGGTTCTGGATGGTGATCTTGCGCTGCCGGTAATCTACCCCAAGCACAGGCTCGTTCTGACCCCGCCTCTGGGCCACAATTCGAACCTCCCGCTGGCTGTCGTTGCAGTCATTGGAAGGGTCCTGGCCCAGGGACAGAGCTGCCTGGTATGCTGAGGAAAGAGGACATACCCAAGTCACACAGCAATGGGGAATTCCCATGAAGAAAGGTGACTTTACTCTGAGCCTATGTGTCCCCAGGGAGTTTTGTTAAACATGAAGATTCTGATTCTGTAGGTCTGGAATGAGAAGCAGAAATTCTGCATTTCTAATGAGCTCCCAAGTGATACCAATCACTGAGAGCAACACTGAGCAGCGAGACTCTAGACCCACCCAATAGGCCACCATTTCCAAATCCTGGCTGCATCCCCTGATTTCCTATCCCAACTTCCTTTGCCTCATTGTCAGTTGCCCCAGACTCAGCTTTCATAGGGTTCATTCATCTGCCCTTACAGTGCAAAGTGTGAGAGCTGTTAAATCTGCTGGGGCAAATGTTTACTACCCTAGTCTCTCCTACCTCCCCACTTAACCCATGCATTTGATGAGGAACCCCCAGGAAACAATGCCTTAATTTAGAGAGGGAGGGTTTCTTAGGGGGAAATCAAACTCTGTGGGTAGCTCAGTTAGGTTTTGGGGTACATATTGTGAGACATCAGTAGAACTAAAGGAGGTAAAGTTGGTGCCTCCCCCTCCTTTTCTCATCTCAGGAAGCTCACTTCCTGCCTACAAACAGGATGTGCACTTCTGTTCCCCAAATTTCCACAAGGTTAATTGTCCCGGGATGACTGTGGATATCTAGGTTCCTTTGTTCTTTGAGATCAGCAGAGGTAGGCAGCTAAGAAGAGTTTTGGCTCCAGACAGCAGAACTGACATGAGTGGGGCAACTGTCACTTAGAGATAGGATTTGGCTGAACGCAGGGAGTTGTGGATCTCAGAGATGTCAAACAACAAATGTGCTTCCGGGGGCAGTGACTTCTGCATTGGTATTCAGTCAGTAGAGGAATGACTGTCTATCAGGAAGGCTGGCCACAGAGTTGAACATGGCAGTGGGCACAAGGCTCACAAATGATCATTCCTCATGCACCGTGGGGAATATAGGGGTCTTCTTAGTGGCATTCTAGGAGTAGGGGTGATAAGGGGCAGGTCTACATCCTCATCTCAGTGTGCTGGCATGGACTAGGAGGCAGAACTTACTCTGCCTTTCGCTTGTTGTCTGAGCTGCCTTAAAATCTTTTTAGAATAAGGTGGGATATAAATTTTTGAGTAAATAAAATAGTATGTGACCTTCAATAAGTTATTTCATCTACCCGGACCCAGTTTGCTTATGTATAAAATGAGGAGACTAGATTAAATGATCTTTGGGGCTTCTTCTCACAAACGAGGATTTGTGATCCTAAATAATTCCTACAGACTAACAGCAATACTTCACAGAGGGCCCCGGGCAGAGGCAGAAGGAGGGGGCACTCACACGCAGAGTAGTAGTCAAAGATGGGATCCTTGCAGAAGGACTTGAAGCGCCACGTCACCACCACGTCCTGGAGCTGGGCAGAGGTGGTATAGTCACATTTGAGGACGACGGAGGCAAACAGGGTGACATAGCGTTCTGTGTGCTGGACTGTCACCAACAAGGACAGGCACCCTGAAGCCAAGAGCAGGAGACAATGCTGCAGGCAGACCAGATCTCTGGGAGGTGACCTACTTCTGTGCGTGGGGTAACAAAGGCTATGCAAATGAACACACAAACTGCCTGACTGCTTGGCAGCTCACAGGCGGAGTCTGAGTGCTTACTTGGCCTGGGTAAAAAACTGCACAGACAAGGGGGAAGATCGTGAAGAAAAAGATCAAGGCCAACTCCCAGGGAGCTCAAGGTCCATCGGTCCCTCGATGGTGATAACACATACAACGATAAAGAAATCGTATTAAAATAAGGCGATACTTGTACTAGAGTGACCTTGTTAATATACATATATATATATATTTTCATATCACTTTCTTTTAAAAACATTTTCCCATTTACTTAGGATAAATTCCAACCACCACAAAGAGGCCTATAAGGCTGGTAAGTCTGCCTTCAGCCTTTCTCTCCTGCCTCATCTCACTTCATACCCTACCTTACACTCAAGAGTTTGGCCACTCTGAACTTGCTTCAGTCCTTTCCCTACTGGGATTGCTGTCTTCTCCAGGTCTTGCTACATGTGGATGTCTTGGCTGGAATGCTCTTCCTTATCACGGGCTACCATTCTGCTCCCTTCACTAGATTAATTACTATTTATTCCTCCGGTCTTCAGCCACACCCTCCCTTCCTCAAAAAGCCTGGCCTGACTGCATATCTGGGAAAGGGGCCTCCCTCTGTTTTCTCAAAGTGCCTCATCTTACCTTAAGGAAGCATTTTCACACTTCTTGCTGATGGCCTGTTTACTACAGGCTCCAAGAAAACTGACTTGTTTTGCCAACCACCACCCTAGCGGCCTATCACCACAAAAAATTTTGAGATAAATATAAATAATGACCAAAAATACATTAACCAGTGGATAAGAGCAGCATAGGTCAACATAAGCATAAAGCAAATGAAAGAAAAAGATCAGACTGCGACAAATTTTATTAAGAAAGACTTGAAGGAATTAAAAGTCTCCCTCCTCTTACCTTCCAAAGATAGAGACATACTCCAGGTCTGCCTTGATGAGGAACCAGGTGGCACAGAAATGTCAGATGGGACTTTAACACAGTCAGAGAGCCACACATAATTGGCATCTTTAATGTTCCTATGTCAATATGGTTTCTAGGCCGGGTTATTATGGCATCTTCTCATGGGGGGGTTCATGTGGAGCGGGAGTAGTCGAACCTGAGCATACACCACCAGCAAGACCTGAGACAGCCCAGATCCCTGTCAACAGGAGTTTCTGATTCAGTAGAACTTGGGTGGGGCCCAAGGGTTTACATTTCTAATAAATTTTCAGGAGATATTGATGCTCTTGCTCTGGGAACCATATTTTGAGGAAAATTTGTGTAGACTAGATGAAAAAAATCCAATGTAACCTTTGGACTCAGCTGTGACTTGGTTCAAATCAAACTTTACTACTTAGACACTGGGCAAGTTATTTATACTCAGTGAGTTTGTGTTTCCTTAACTGTAAGTGGAGATGATAATAGTATTAACCTCATCAGGTCCTTGCAAGAATTCAATGAAATAATCCACATCCAGGGCTTGGCTCAGCACCTGGCACATCCACTGCCGTGTTAGTGTCAGCGTATGAGTCTCTTTCCCTCTTTCCTTTATTACAAGAGCCAAGGAGAAAGAGGTTCAAGTTGGAGTTCTCAGGTGGAGCTGACTTTATTTTAACTGAGTTGCTCCCACAAGCAAAAAAATATAGACACCCGTTACAGAGGTGGGTGGGCCTGACTCAAGAGCCAAAGCCATTGGTTCTGGCTCCTGCCTCACCTTCTGGGCACAGCCCACATAAAAGTCTGCTGAGGCTTACGATGGACACCTGCCCCACTGTTCTCACATCCATGGAGAAAGCTGTATGCTGCTCAGGACAGGCTCTGGCCCCCAGAAATGACCTGAGCCATCTCTAGGGCTGTAAATGAGGATGTGCCTGTGACAGCCGTGTGGAAGAGAGGGTCTAGAGAAGTGTAGAGGAGACCTGTGGGCAGGGGAGACTTCACGAAGGAAGAGCTTTAAGCTGGATTCTAAAACTCAAAGAGGATAAACATTACACATGAGAAATACAAGGCAGAGAAACTTGTCATATCAGGATGGAAGATGAGCAAAGGCCCTTAGCAGGGAGGGGCGATTACTTGGGGAACCTGGAGGGAACCAACCTAGCTGGCAACTCTGGCTTAGTGGGAAACAGAGGGAATAAATTAGGTGGTGCTGGAAAAGGTGGGGAGATGGACTACATCACACTCCAATGCGTATTTCTAGTTAATAGATAATCACTGAAGGTTTTTCTGAAGAACAGTAATAGGGTGACAGTGGTGTTTTTAGGAAGATGGATGACTTCCTTATTCAGCTATTAATGAAAAAAGAACATCATTTTGAAAATAGTCCTTCAGTAGTTTGGGGAAAAATAGCTGCTGTCCTTACTGGCTGTTGGATTCCTGGAAACCAATCCAATCAGAACAGAGGAGCCAGTGACCAGCATCTCAAGCCTAATATGGATTCAACCATACTCTGCTTTCGTATTTTTGCTTCTCTACCCTCACTTTTTCTTTCTAGTGCTGACCTGAAACGGACTCTGGAGCTTTTGCCCAACACAGCTTTAACTGAACAGAAGGAGCTATGGGTAAGATTCTGACAATGAATTTGTCAACACTAGCTTCTTTGCACAGTAGTAACACAAATGGATTGGAATAGGGCAGGGGAGTCAAACTCATTTTCACTGGAGGTCATATCAGCCTAGCAGTTGCCTTCAGAGGGCCAAAATAATTTTAGGATTGTGTAAATGTAACTGCTTCTTAACTATTAAGTTGAAATTACATTCAGCCCTTTGAAGGCAACCAGGAAACTGATGTGGCCTTCGGGGAAAATGAGTTTGACACCCCCTTGGAATAGAGGAAAAAAACACTGATTTGCAGTCTAAACAAGACCCTCGGTTCATGTAGCACTTTCAAATGTTTTTTTTTACATACTAAATATGATCCCTGGGAAGAGAGAAATGTACCCATTTCATGCACAGCAAATCTAAGATTGGAAAACATGACTTGTCTTGTGGTCATTTATTTTCTAAGAAAATATGATTCAAGATTCGTCCCCTGAGCAATGCTCCTGCCACTCTGCCTGGCTGTTCTTTAATTTAAGGAGTACGTTTGGTATTCATTGGCTTGCAAAGAACTGGAACATGGGTCCAGGCTACTTGAGCAATAATTAATATACAATTGGTCACTGTCACTCTGATGCTATAATTAATAACCTACATGTTCTTTATTTTGCTGAATGGTAACTCAACATAAAAAGCAGTTTATCAAAAAGACCCTACTCAACATTATTTGTATAGAAGTGAAACATTTGGGGAAGGACTGGGGCTTTCTGGGAGTCAGAGGAGGCAGTTTGGTTGGAGCCAGAAGTTGCTCTGGACTAGCCTTGAAGATTGCTGAACCTGACACTCTGAGGCAGGAGAACAGGGACAAGGGTGATCACCTTCATTATCGAATCCTCAGTCAGTTCCCCTTGCATGAATGCTCCTATTATGGGCAAACGACACCTGGGGGCAGAGAGTTCACCTTTTCCAACGTCAACACTGGCTATGCCGCCTTTTATCCTCTCTTCAATTTCATCCCCTATGTGAATTTCAAGCCTTTGAAATATGCCGGGTTCCCAGATGTTCTGACCACATTGAGCTCACTCACAGTCCCTTCAGGGGTCTGCCAGCCCCATAGCATCCTGTGCAGTTCTCAGACCCTTCCCCACAACATGTCCACAGCCCCCACCGCCCTCACACAGAAAGTAAGGAAGGGTCTCAAGATAAAAGGTAACTGAGCAACCAGCAAACCCTTCTTCTAGGTTGTTGGCCTGGATCTCAGCATCTACTGTTACATACACTGTCTTTAATCGGCACAAATCCCCTAGGGTGGGATCAACCTTGCTCCTCTTTGTGGGCCAAAGTTCAGACAATAAACTAAGCCCTCTCAGCTTCGGGATTTGAATTTAGGGCTTGCTGACACCAACACCCAATCTTTTTATTTATTTTTTTCCTTTAAAAATTTTTATTTTTATTTTTATTTTAATTGTTGTTCAAGTACAGTTTTCTGCCTTTTACTCCCATCCCAGACCACCCCACCTCCCTCCCATTTCTACCAATCTTTTTATTTTTATTTTTTAACCCAAACCCAATCTTTTCCAAGCAGGCAAGTTTAACCTTCTAAGTGGAAGTCAGGCACTGGACTCCCTAAAGGCAGGAGGGTCTTTCAGATCAGACAGAAGACAAAGGAAGTAGCAAGTCCATCTCAAAGGCAAAACCCTCCCATCTTTCTTTCCCATGCTGTCACTTCTCTGTAAAACTAACCACACTGGGCATGCACACTACTAAGTGGATAGGGGTTTTCAAGAAGAGGCCAAAAGCAGCAAGATCAGGGCTGAAAATATGAACAGATTCAAAGAGTTATAGATGGCATCATGCTCTTTTATTTTTTTTAAAAACTGAATCTTCATTGCATTTTTCCTGCTACCATTTACTCCTCTTATACCTCCCTCCCCCCAGCAATTCCCACACGACTGTCCATGTCCACGAGTCTTTTATCTTCAATCTCTCCACCCCCTAACCTCCACCCCACACATCATTGCTCTTTTAAACTTAGTACTACAGGTTTTTAAATTTGTAAATTATCTTTGTATTCTTACATTTATTTCCTTCATGTTGTGGCATCACCTTATCCCCAGCTCATTGCTACCCATTTCCTAGCTGTCTATCATTTTTCCCTTGAAAACTTAATTTGAGAGACTGACTTCCTGAGTTCAGATTCTGCCTTCACTCCCGAGCAGCTAAAAGAGCTAACAAGCTATTTCCAAACTCCAGTTGTTTCTTTACACACAAAATTGGGATGATAGTAATAGTTGCCCTATAGGGTTATAATGAGGATTAAATGAAATACATGTCCAGTGTTGAGCCAAGAGCCTGGCACATACCAAACACTCAATAA